TACGTGCCCCGGACCTACTCAATTGCTCTGTCATTTGGGGTGGACTGGGACTGGCCGGACTTGGGATTGCGTTTATTTTTGGGCTCCGATTGTCGCTGAATTTTTCATGGTAATGAAGGGCGCAGGTTAATTGTTCTCACTGTCCCTCCCAGACAGCAGGTGGCCCCAAAGAAAAACCCGCAATACATCATGCTACAGCAGGAGACGGTGAGCGGGGAGCTGATGGCAACGACAATCTGTGGGTCAGGGCTTGGGTGCTTGGGGGCGAAACAAATTATTGGCATTAATTTCGTGGCAGGAAATTAAAGAAACGTTTTTGCCCTCAGGCCACGCACACGCATATCGAGAGCGGTGGGTGGGGCTGCAGCCTTGACCTTAATGTTTGACTTGGCTGGGCCCTTGGCTTTTGGCCATTTTTGGGTTGAGAGCTTTTGCCGCTGAGGCCGAGCTTCATTCGAATGTGCTCCATGGCTGGTGGCTGCACAAAAAGATTCCTCTTGGGGCAGGGACCTGCCTCTGCCTCGCATGCAGCAGGGAACGAAGCAAGGAATTCACTCTATGGAAATGTCGAGCTGGAGCCGAGACAATAAATAAGTAAAGCATTCTGGCACATTGAAGCTGCAACAATATTTTGCATTTTGAGTTCCTGCTACAAATTTATAGACTTACAGGGAACTTAGGGCAAGCGATGGAACAACTCGTTGAAGCAATGCTGCGATTGGTTGCCTCCAACAAAGTGAAGTTCGGCAACAAACTTATTGCCTTCGCCCACTCGCCCACTCGCCCATGCAGGGGGAGTGCGAAATTTGCATGTGCGGAACGAGTCTACGGGCTGGAATTCAAGTCAGTTTTGTGGATTGAGGCGATGGCAAGCCCTGCAAGCGCAGCTCCCCTCGTGATTACAGAGTCTAGAATTCATTGCCAAAATTCATTGCATACTTTTCGCCGAATGCTGGCACCGAATACGCATACGCCACGTGGGCCCAAATGCCTGGAAAATCCACTGTGCACCTGTGTGTGCGTGTGTGTGCGTGTGTGTCATATGTAATATTTATTGAGCAAAATTCATTTTCCACTTAAATATTTCAACACACTGCGCAATGAGGGCGAAACATACTTCTGAGACGGCAGTCAGCCATGGCAGCCAGCCATTCGTGTGGCTTTATGACAGGACCCAATGCTGTCGTAAAAATTCAGCACCTCAAGGACTCAACTCAGAGCATCTCTGGCTGCGACCATTGGTAATCTTTGCGCACATTTTTGGGAGAGAGCTGAGGGCTGAGACCTAGAGAGCGACAATGTTGAATGGCAGCTGCAGAGTTGCATTAGGGACAAAAGTCAACAAAGGCAGAGCAGAGAGGGGAATGCATAAAGGTGAGGGCGAATGGGAAAGGGAAGAGCAAAGCAAAGACAGCGGTAAAGTCAGTGTCAAGTGTTCGAGTGTGAGTGGGAATGGCAGAAGGAATAACAAGAGGACAAGAGAGTAACGGTCAGCAGAGCGACGAGACACAAGTGCAAGAGGGACTGCACTGGACAGGGACTGCCAGGGGAAATCAAACGCTCACACAGACAGGACCCAAGACGGGACTCCACATCTATGTGCACCTGCAGGATGGTGGCATGGCTGTGTGGCAGTGTGGCAGTATGCCAGTTGAGAGCGCAAGTGCGTCGTAAATAAATAAGCTGCCTGACGCCAATTGATGACTGGCACAGGACTGCAGCAGGAGCTTGTGCTTGGGCTTGGGCTTTGGCTTTGGCTCCCCCCTTAGCGCCCCAAGGGAGTGTATGATGTGCGGCTGGGACATCAAATAAATGCTGTTACCATGAGTGGAGCAGCCCTGTCAATCCTGTAAAGCCTCAGCCAGACCGCTGTCCAGTCAGCTCTAGGGTAACCTCAAGTCGAAGGGATTTCTGTTGTGCCCAAAGCAGGAGAGTGAGGAGGAGCCTGCCACACCGCTTCAGCTTGCTGCCTGAAATCAAATGCCATTGTGCAAGGACAATGCCACGCCACAGCGGCCGTCCTGGCTGGGTGTGGGGCTTGGCTTTGGCTTTGGCTCCCAATTTTGCGCCATTACTCGCTTCGGTTACACCAGTCGCTCGGTGTTCGACGCCTGCCAACAAGCACCAATTAGTCATTGGCCGCTGCAGCTGTAATGCAAGATGCAACACGTGTCCGCCCTTGCCTGGGGTGGTTCCAGGTGCTGCTGCTGCTGGGCCTCAAAGTGAAAATGGATGCCGACACCTGTTGCTGCCAGGCAGCTCAGGCTGAGGCTCAGGCTCAGGCTCAGGCTTGTGGTCGGGAAGGGGGATTGCTGTAATTAAGTTGACTGCATTTTTCACTGGCCCAAGGACACGTCTAAAGTGTCCGGAGAGACCCTTTTCGTTTGCTTTTCTAAATTATTTATGCCAAAGGGTTTGGTTTGCAGCTGAAGCCACAGTCGGGCCCGGACCAGTTGGCGACCCCTAAATGTCCTTCGATACAATCTGCTGGCCACACAGTTAACACTTTTTATAAATTTCCTGCGACAGCAAAGGCAGCGAAAGAGAAGGAGCAGTCTCCAGACTGCTTCTAATTGACAGGATTGACAGGCAAAGTTTCCCAGGAATTATGGCCAGCAATATGTTGGCACGGCCCTGAGTGTGCTGGCGGATCCGGGCTAGCGGGCGCTTAATTCGACAGCCTCGAAGATTTATAAGACTGTGCGAAAAAGCTCTGATGGATGGACAACAGCTTCCAGCTTCAAAATTCATTCTAGACGCATCCAAGCAGCTGTCGCATCCTGTCCAAGTCTGCACTTTAAGTGCAAGCCAAAGAAACATTCAGTTATGTACAAATTGATGTAAATATGTACTTGAATACATTTTGTTGTCAGGATGAAAAGTCCATGCCACGTTTCATGTCCGAATTCAATTAGAATCTGTTGATTTGCTGGCTGAAAGGTTCGCTAATTAGGAGCGAATTTTAATTTGTTTCCAGGATTATAACCATAATCCCAATCAGCGTCCGAGGCCCTGGCTCTGGCCCTGGCTCTTGATTCCGGACAGTCCGCTAATGAGATTCGGTTTCGGTGTCAGTTTCGCCACAACGCGAATGGACAGCAGAGCTCCAGCCCATTTTTCATTTCTCATTTTTCATTTTTCAGCGGAAATTGAGTTAAATTTCGACCAATAATTAACTTGCATTGTTTTTGACATTCTGTTTGGTTCATTCATTATTTGAATTGTTAATTTGGTGGCTTCCACTGGCTAATGAGGTTCCAACCCATGAGCAGAGGGATGAGGCATGGACAATGGGTATTGGGTACTTTTTACCCATCAAATTTCCACAACCCATTCCATGCCATAAATGTTCTTCTTACGGACAGTCCGCCAATGAGATTCCTTCCGTAAATTGAATTACATTCGGCGTGTAATTAACTTTTATTGTTTTGACAGAACTCATTTTCCTTTGACATCTTCTTTTTGACAATTTCCCATTCGCATTTTCCAATTTATGTTTGGTTCGATCGGGATTGCAACCATCCAGCCGAACCACAGCCGGGCCGAGACGAACAAGTGCACTTGCATTCGCCAATCGAACATGTTGTGTTTTGTTCGCCAGTGAGCGTGTCGCAGGCGATTCTATTAAGCTCATACTTGACACGAAAAACTGAGTCCAGCCAGAGCGCACTTGTGGTATAATTGTCTCAACAGTGACAGCATGTTGCGAAGTAAGTTTATTGCAAATCATTTGTAGTGGGTGTATTGGAAACTGCCTTGCCATTCAAATCCTACACAGGACACAAAAATGTTTGAGAACATTAGTCCGAATTGTTAAGCAACATACGTTGCTCATACTCTACACGCGAAAATGAGTCCAAGAGCGTAGAAATGCACTGCTCTTTGGTTTGATCGAACCGGTCGAACGGCGACTCGAGCCACTGGGCTATGGAAAGGTATGGACAGCGAGGGTAAATCCAGCAACACAAACAGCACGCCATACGAACCTCACCTCACCTTATATTCACATTTTCCATGATTACTAATATTACAATAATCACAGCTTGTTACCAAAAAGGGTGAGCTTGGACGTGAGTGCATTACATTTTCGGAGGCGCTTGTCTGCTTGTCCATACCCTTTTTCAACTTAGCACCATTAATTGCCTAGCCACATGTGGCCGAGCAACATTTTGAAGGACCAGCAACATTGGCAGCCAAGGCGGGCGTATTTGAAACGGCCTTGCCGCCCCATTTCAACTGCAACCAACTGAATGAAACGACATGTCGAGTTTTTTTCTGAATTCAGAAAATTACGCTGACTTCCCACTACAAAAATATCCATATTGATATTCTCGCCAAACCAAATTATCACCTACAAAAATAAGTAAATCAAAATATTTGATATACATTCGACGACATCAACGATGTGTTGTGCAGCGTTTTCAAACGTCAAACGGTTTTTTGGTTTCGAACGGTAAAGTCGCGGGTGGCGGACGGACGTTTGGGTCGAGCGACCGGAAAACTCTACGAAAATCCAAAAACTGCAGACAAAAACAGCAGCAGCAATAGCAAACAGCAACAATAACAACGGCAACAGAAACCACTCACAACGGAACGTGCAGCAGCGCGCGATAAGAACCGCTAGCAACAATAATAGTACGAACGTTGACGTTGACTTTTGATTTCGGCGGCGACGACAACGACAACGAAAACGACGACGCCAGCGGCAGCGGCAGCGGCAGCGGCAGCGCAGCAGCAACTAGTGCAACGTGTACGTGTGTGTGTGTGTGAGTGTTGCGTTTAAGTCTTTGCAATTCCCCGACCCTCTTCGCCCACTGGGCTGCCATAGGAAAACGTGTTTCAAAAATACATTTAATACTACTATAATAGTTCTGTGTTAACCTTACTCTCTTTTTGTGTTGTTGTTTAGTTAGTTGTTGTGGTCGTTGTTGTTGTTGTAATTGTATTGTAAGAACTGTTGTGCGTGTGCGTCTGTGTGTGCGTGTGTTCTGTTATTCTTTTTTGTTGTGTGACCTTTTTTTTGTTGTGCTTTGATTGGTGACCAGCAGAGATACATAGTAAACAAACACACAAAAGAGAGAAGATACCCGTGTACACTCAAAGGTAAGTTCCACGTTCCACGCTCCACTCACAGTTTGCTGGCATTCTGCATTCTACAAAATACGAAATACCATTACAAATTCACTAACCAACACAACTGCAGAAACGCCAGAGAAACAGAGCAGCGACGTCGAGATACAGAAAACTGCAAGAGTGATCTTCTTGAACGGCGCCCGTCGCGCCGGCAAAAGGAGCGAGCGCGAGGGCAAGAGAGAGAGAGAGACAGACGGCAAGGGCCAGCTACAGAATGTGAGAGAGAACAGCAGGCAGTGAATGATCTCCAGCAGCAGGCAGGCAGGCAGGTAGTCCCAAGGTATACGCAGCCATAAGGTTGCGCTGTCCGAAAGAGCGGCCTCATCGTGGCAACATTTCATGGTTCGATTGAATTTAAGTGCGAGTGTGCCTAACCTTATTGCATGTGCACCTTGGGCAGACCTCGGCCCTTCGCGTGTGTCGTTCTGTGCTGCTGCTGCTGCTGCTGTTGCTGTTCTCTCTCCCACTCTCTTTGTTGCTTTTCTTGTTGAAGATTGTTCGCACTCCCTCTACTGCTGTTTCCGTGGAAAAAAACAATTCCTTAACCTGCCTCTGGCCCAGCCACCCAACCTCTGGGTTACCTTTGCCTGCCATTTTGCAGTCGTTAACTACCCATTCCAAAGCCCAGCGCCCAGCGCCCAGGTCCTGTCTCTCCCACCGCATAAACTAGACGTAAGCGTGCGAGTAAGCCCCGACTCAGGGTGTGTGGTTTGCCGCTTCTTCAGCGACATCGAAATTGTATCTGCCACACGCTCTTGGCCTTCAGTGGGTTAATAGCCAAAAAGCTTTGCTTCCTATTCCGTTATGCTATTTGTTTGTGTTTGTGCTTCGTGGGTAGAAAGGGGAGGGCCTGGCACTGCCTTATGGCCAAATTGCTTCTGCTGTTTGCGGTGACAACGGGCCAAGACTGACTCCGACCCCACTTACACCGCATTCCAGCGATGTATCTGCAAGATACTTGCACAGAGCTCCAAGGCGCATTCCCCAGAGCAGACGGCGGGTGCAGTTGAGCGCAATCTTGTCTAGAATTTCAATACCAAACAAAACGCTCAACGCTGTGACGGCAGAGGGTCGAAGAATGGCAAGGACGCCGACAGGGACGGGGACAAGGACGGAGACAGCCATGGGGGCAAGTGAGTGGAAACTGCAGCCCAAAGGCAAAGGCAACAGCGAGCAAGGGTGCTGCGGGTAATGGGTTCCACATAGTCACAGTTTGGGCACCAAGAGTTTGGGCTGCCCCGCTCCACTGGGAATAACAAAAATCATCAACAGAACTGAACTTTACATTTCGCAGGAGCAACTTTTGACAGTCCTTAAGGTTGTACCACAACCAAGCCTTAGCCCCGCGTCATTCCTTTGCTGAACATTCTGTGGGTCTCGGCCTCGGCCACATCTTGCCGCAAGTTTAGTTTTTCACCTTATTACCACAGGACATTTGTAGCCGAATGTCCGAGGCAGGTACATAATTATTGTATGCACACTACAATGGCTGCAGCAACGACCTCCGAGTTGTACCCCGCGGTGCGACTACAATGGGGCCAGCCAGCAGCTTGCCACCCACTTTCGTAGGGTATTTCCCCCCCGCAGTTGTTTCGGGCTCTGTTTTGTTTCCTTTGAAGGGTCTCCTCGCTCGGCCATTCAGCTTGTGGGCCAACCTGGCCGAACAATGGCCCACAATTTGCTGCCTTTATTTATGGAAAATTAAAATTAAAATTAAACTGATTAATTAAACAGCAAACAGAGGCATTGTAAGCCAGAGCTGCTGGAACTTTTGTATAACAATTTTGTAAATTATTCGCGTTAAATTGTATGTTTTTCTTTTCAACATTCAACATTCGGCATTCAGACGGGTCAGGGGACAGCCACAGCGGCGGGGCGGGGCGGGGCGGTGCGGTGCGGGGAGGACAGACCAGTTTCAGCTTTCAGAAATCTCTCGAGCAGATTTCCGAAGCGTGAAGAGAGACGAGATTGAACTCAAAATCAAAATCAAAACAGCTGTTCCACGCTCAGAGAGGCTGGCTTGGCTCTCACAGCCGCTCGAGATTGAGTTCTGAACTTGGACTAGAAGTTTTCCACTGCCAGAGGAAGGTATTTTCGGGTGCAGACTCTCAGATTTTCTCGCACCATTCAAGAACCCACCCAAAATGCCAATTAAGAGCGCTATTTGAGTGCTCTAAACTCCCTCCAGTTGGTGGCAGTCTGTCCTCAAACTGAGACTCCGTCTCGGACTCAGAGCTGGTCGCTGTCTCTGTGGCTGGCTTGTGACGCTTTTGCTGGCTGTGACGCTGACTCAAGGTGACGTAATGCCAACGCCTAAAGTGGCTTTTATGCGCTCCAACAGATCCAAGTATCAATTACAAACAGGCAAAAGCGAGCACATTTTGTTTTTGGGGTCAGGGGGAGGCAACAGCAGCAGCGCCTTTCAGCCCGAAGTAAATCTCAGGCGAGGCGCTAAAATGAAGAGCAAACTTGGACATGCAAAAAACACAACAAGTAAATACAACAAATAATTCATTTCATGCCTAATTTTGCACTAAAAAAGTCAAAGATATTTGCCCTCAGGGATGGTTTGTTCTTGGCCATGGTTGTGCTGACAGCAAATAAATTGAATGTATTTCGATTCTATTTTATATATGAACACGTGATATCAGTTTCCACTCTCGGATCTTTGTATAAATATTCAAAACGAAGTGCGAAGCGCTTTCTTCTCTCCTCCTCCCATCGATGCTCAGTCTTGAGTGCTCCGAGTTGTCCGACAGATTCTGTGGTTAAACTAAAGCTGCCTTTGGTGCTCCAAAGAGAGCGTCGCCCTCAGCATATTTGACGACAGCAGCCAGAGGATATCAGTTTACAGCTCCCACAGCATCTTCTGTGTCCATCTGTCCAGCATTGCCACTATCTGTGGCAGACAGTTTGGAGCAGCTGTCACTGACCAGAAGCAGCCCCTGCCCTGAGCAACTGTCAGCCTTCAGCCGAATACCAAATTCACACACAACAACAAAGAGAGAGAGAGAGAGAGAGAGAGAATAAAAAACGGTGGCAATAACAATTCGCACTCAAAATGTAAATAAACAAAAAGCGAGCTACATTCGTATGTATTTATTTGTTTATAAATTGCTACAACAACACTAATTGCCAGATTGGCAGATAGTTAAAACAGCTGAAAAAAAAACAACAAAAAAACGGAATCCAAATCGGCATCTGGGATACAGCAACATGAGCGAGCTTGTCGCGAGTTTGCGATGTTCTTTAGCGCCAAAAGCAAAGCAAAAAGCAAACGAAAAATAACGAAGAGTCTTATGCTTCGAGCTGTCGATTGCTGATTGAATATTCTTAAAAGAAAATTCAACATTCAAATATATTCGTGCTAGTGCCAAGATTCATTCTCAGATCCACAAACGATGGAAATGCCAATTTTTGGTTGCTTAAAAAAGGTTTCGCGACTTACAGTTTGATTCTGTTTGAATCCACGCTGAAGGCCACTACATTTGCAGAGTATTTTGTGTTCGGCATTCGCCGAACGTTTCGCCGAACGTTTCGCTTTCGTTCTGCTTTGTATCCAGCATTGAGACACCCCCAACCACCTGCCCCTTCCAGCCATTTGGCTTTCTTTCTTTTGTTTGTGTTCGCTTTGGTCGTTGTCTTTTGTTGTTGTTGGCGCTGTTTTGTTGCCGCCCAGAGTTCATGAGCGCCCAAAGTCATGTTAGCGAATGTTTAAAAATGAATTTTCCAATTCAATTTTCATTAAACAACAACATCCATCCAAAACGATTTCCACCAATCTAATGCACAAAAGAACTGTGGCCCCATGTGGTGGTCAGGGGACAGGGGAAGAAGGATTCCCACTCGCTCTCAATTCGCTGCGGAACGGAATGGAATGAAACGCTTGCAGTCAGCTGTTTCGCCTTTCGGTTCCGTTTCATTCCCATCTTAATATTTATTGATGCTCGGCATGGGGTGAATGATTAGCAACTAATAAAAAGTTGTATGCCTCTGCTTATCATTATGAACTGATGATGATGTTCCCCGTTGATGAGTGAACTTTTCCAATGCGAATAAAGCAATCATCGCGTCGATTAGCCAAACAAATCGAATGTTTCCTCATCCCATCTTATGCGGAAATCCACAGCCACAGGGGAGCGATCGCTCTCAGATATTTTACATTTATTAGATACAAAATGTGTCTAGATATTCGTCTGCTGCATGCTGGAATATCTCACGCTTGTTGCCATTTGTTTGCACAGTTTTCTTCCATAATTATTTCCTTCTGTTGTATAATTATAGAGACAGAGAGCTACTTATTGACCAACACAGGCGCCACAAAGGGTGCAGCTGAATGGACAATATACAATATTAATATTGCGATTAATACCCCAGCAAAGAGTTAAAATATTTCGATCCAAAGTGTGGCTGGGATGCGAAAACTTTCTGCTAAAGATAGACCAACATTTCTCTGGCTTAACCCTAAAAAAACGGCACAAGGATTTCAATCACATTCGTTTTAAACTTTACTCTTGCACCTTTTTCCATTCCACATCCCTGGAATATCAGACTGTCATTGGCTACATCTGAACAGCTGCTCTGGCTCTTATTTCTGTGTTCCGTCTGCTGTCTGGAATTAGTTCGGGATTCTGGCCAAACCTTGACACCAAACACGCACGTTTTTGTTGTAAAGATTTGTACAATTTGCATTTGTAAACAATGAAAAAGAGCCAAACCTACAGAAATGTTGAAGGAACACATGTGCTTTATGTCTATGGAGGCATGATCTGCCCTTGGCCGTCCATGTGCTTCGTGATTTATTCATCGGCGATCCGTGACAGACAGGTGTTCGCCGTAGAGAGTTCGCCAGAGAATGCAAAGTCAAAGTGCCACAACCCAAAAGACTTCCAAAAGACTGCAAACTTCTGGGGTTCAAATATTCATGGATTGAGCGACGTCTTTACTCGAGTAATGAAAACATAGCCTCAGTTTGGGATCTTTCGCATCATCCATTGCCAGAGCCTTGCTTCATTTTCCAGAGCAAATTGTACATTGAAAATGATTTTCAACACACAATACCAATGCTGCAAAGACAAAGAAACGAGTGTAAGTTATTTGAAATATTTATTATTGAAATTATTTGATTGTCTCATTGTGTTTGCTTTTTGCTGTGGCTGTGAGTGAGAGCTGTGTGCTGCCACGATAATAAGTTGTAATCGCCAACTAAATCAGTTCAGTGGCAAAGTCGACAACTCATTGTGTGCACAGAGACAGAGACAGAGACAGAGACAGAGACTCTCCCTGCCTCTGGCTCACTGAAATGATGCATATTGGATTCCATATGATGACGATGACGTTGCCTGAAGCTAATGCCACATACATGTGGCACACATACTCGCTTCAGTGCATATCACATTAATGAGCAATTTGTGCATAATCATAGAGCACAAGCCGCAAAATCCCCCAAAAGCCACACATTGCACAATCACAGTGCAACAACAGCAACTGGGGGAAGCAGACAGGGGGAAGCACTCGCAGTGCTGCTAAAACTTTTCACATTAACAAATATCCGAGTTGTTCTCTCTATTACGGATACTTCTGTCGGCCTGTCCGTTGTTTCCGCTGCACTTTGCAACTCGCAGATACTGGAATTGGAATGCAAGTGGGGAATACCCGGCTAGTGGCTGATGTTGCCAAGAGGAGTCCAATGGTAACTGCTTCCGCTGGCAGTCAATGGCTGCACTTGGCACTCTTGGCCCAGTTGCACTTCCCGTAATCGTTTTGATTTGATTTGCGGTTCCATTCAAATGCCACCTGCCGATATCGGAGTGTGCGCTGTAAATGAGCAAACAATTGCGCTTTGTCAAATGACATAATCCCCCTCTATAAATATTATATCAACAGTTGTGGAATTGAGTTCTATTTGTTGTTGCTTGCTGCTTGCTGCTTGCTTGCTGTTTATTGATGTGTCATGAAATGTAAGTCGGTTGCAGCCACATATCTACAGTGGCTTTGCGGGGTGTGCAAGAAGAACTCTACAAGAATTTTTCTAATCGCTGCATATCAAGCGTGCACATTTTTACATACTTACACTTTTACACACACTTGCATGCATATTTACATACTTACATATATCGAAGTATTTACGACGCAGACAGAGCGCAGACACATCGCTTTATCGCGTGGGGGGATCTCGGGCTTTGGGCTTTGGGCTTTGACATTGGCTCTGTCTTCGGCTCTTCGGCTCTTCGGCTCTTGCATGCTCCGATCGCTGATCTGCTGCTGCGTGTGGTGTTGGTGGGAGAAGCCCCGCAAGTGCGTTAAGCAAAGCAGAAAAGAAAACAAAAAGAGAAACAACAACAACAATAACAACAGAGAGCGTCAAAGCGGCAGAGCAAGTGCCGTAATCGGAGATGGCAGGCGGGCAAGGGACAGGCAGGCAGGTAGGCAGACAGGCAGCATCTTCACTTGAGTTTTTGCAAGCTTCCATCTTCCATCATTCGCTGCCACAAAAAGCAGGAAGTAAATCTCTCTCCTTTGCCTGCCAAAGAAAGATTTAAGATAAATAATTATGATAATGTGGCTGGCTGCAATGGGGGGAAGCAGCAAAAAGAAAAAAAAGAGTCTCCGCTCTGTGCTCTGTGCTCTGTGCTCTGGGTCGATGCTTGAGCAATGATGCAGCTAAATTGTGCAAGTGCTGGGGACAGGAAGGAAGTGTTGCACTTGTTAATGCTCTCTCACGCCAGCGCAGAGATGCAGCAACACCTTTGAATGAAAGGAGAGACAGAGACAGAGACAGAGACAGAAGCAAGGCCAAAGTCCAGTAACGCAAAGCTGTTGGAGCGCATTAATGCCCGAGGGCTGGAGGCGTGGCCAGAGCAGCAGAACCGAACCCATCAAAGCAGCCGCAGAATGCCATTTAATCAGTAAAGCATTCAAAATGCCATCGGGGGAATCTTTAGCCAGAACTAAGGCGGGGGTCTAAGCTACATTTGAATGGGTTTTCTTGAATCGGAACTACATTTCCAAGGGAACTAATGCCATCATCTCTCATCTCAGTATTCCCTCACTGAACACAGCCAAATGCCGCCAGGGCTCATCTTGACTCCCACATTAGTAGCTGCCCAAGGTGTCTCCAGTGTCTCCAGTGTCCAAGTTTGTGCTGCTTTGCCCTGCAATCATCACTGAACCTGAACTGCTGCACTTATTCGTATTACATTTCCATTTTCCTCCCTTTGAGGGCATGGTTGAGGGTAGGGAGAAACAAAATATCTTTCTACTTTAATAGCCCCTTAATCGAAGCATAAATATGTAATTGCTTGACGAGTTTTCCTTTTCAGAGAATCCAACCAACTTGAGTAGACTTTCGGCTCGGGTTCGACCCAGCTGTGTTCTGGCTCTCCTTTCGCTTGTACATTTTATTTGTGTCCGTCTGTGGACGTTTGTATTCGTGTTGACACTCTTGTTGGGGCTTCAATTTCGGCAAACTTGGCGCAAAAGTAAATGCACAAATGGAGTGTGGCCAGAGTGGAAGGCGGGGTGGGGTGTGTGACCATTGGTGACATTTGAAGAGTGCAAATAATTCCAGGAATTGTTCACATTCCCCAATTATTAATAATACGCCGGGCTTGTGCCTGCAGTCAGAATACATTCTTTTAATTATTGTACATACTTTCGTCTGTCACTGGGGTAACATCTGCATTTTTCACCTCTGCCCAACGTTTCTGTGTATATTTCTGTGTGCTCAATTTTCAATGTTTTTCTGGCTTTTCTCGCTCTGCAATAGATTCAACAAACGGCGCACAAATAATATAAATTTCATGCGAAAATTCCAGCACACACAAAAAAGAGGAAAAACACTTTCAACATCAAAGGTGAGTTTTGCCTGTGAATTATGCTTGGGAATTAGCAGTTTGCGTAGCAGCTGAATAGGGTAAATGAATAGCGAGCCAGTTTTAATTGTGTTAAATGTGTTTAACTAGTTTTAAATAGTTTTTGTTGCAGGAATTAGTGCTGCTGCTGCTGCTGCTGCTGCAAATAGATCCTTTATGGCAGCTGCCAACCATTTAGTTAAATTACTTTCGTGGTTTACGCCAACTTTTTTCTGCGGAATTATGTTGGCATTTTGCACAGGTATTAGTTACGCTTTGGGAGCTCCATTTGAGCCTGACTAATTGAATTAGTTGCTCTAATATTTGTTCGAAATTCTTTGTTTCATTTGTTGGCAATTGTTGACATTAAGGCAACTGCTGCTGTTGCTAGTTTATTATTACTCTTATTTATCCCTTCGTTCACTCTCGCATGCAAAGTACTTCAATTGCGGCACAGCATTTGGTTCAATGCCAGAACTAGAGTTCCGGAATGGTTTCATCATCGTTTATCTCGTTACTGGGATTCGACTTGCCATTCCATGCCGCCTGTGGCTCCCAATGTTACACTCCCCGCCTTGTCACGCGCTGTAACGGAAGTATTCCACTCTGGCACACACACACAACATTGTCATTATCATGGCAGGCTATTAGTATGTGTGTGTGTGGTGTGGTGTGCATTATGTGTCGAATGATTATCATCTCAGCTTGTTCTTTCTTGTTTTTTCTGTTCTGTTCCCACAACTTGCGGGCGTGCAGGGGGAGCACAGGGAAAGTGGCGCCACCACATTGCTGCCCCTTTTTGGGTTGCTTTTGTTCGTTAATAAATGTTTGCTTGCTTATTATTGGCTTATTACACTGAAGCACAACATTCGGAAATTGCTCTTTGAGGTGTTGAATCATTTCTTTAGGTTTGACTCTAAAACCTGTCTAAAGCGTCTTTTACAGAAAAGTATTATTCGAATAAGGCAAGAAAATATTGTGATGACCTGTACAATCCACTCATGTCTCGCCTTGTTTACCTTTTCTGCTATTTCCCCCTTCTTGCATCACCGTTATTCCCCTTCATTCGGGACTGCGCTCACTCACACCTTTCTGATCCGCTGCCCACACACTTTCGATGCCGTTATCCCCCTTCTTGCTGTTCTTGCTGTTCCCGCTTCCCCTTATGTGCGCATTTTTTTTGTGCAACTCCCTGCCCGGCAAGTGAATTAACTCAACTCGCAGTATGAAAACTTTTGTGTGAAATTGCTTGGAGAATAAGTTTTTGTTGCGAGAGAGAGAGAGAGAGAGACACGGAGAGAGAGAGAGAGATGAAAACTGACACAATAACTTGATATGTTGGCTAAATACTTTATGGCGCTTAATGGCATGATGAGGGGTTGAAAGGGGGATGCAGGGGTGTTGAGCGGGTAAACGGGTAAAAGCTGGGCTGGGGGGAAGGCAGGCGGAGGCTGGGGCTGGCGAAGCGTGACAAGATGCTAATTAAGAGCAACGACAAATTCAATCAAAGCCAAAGCGAACGCTTCAACTCGAATTGTTTAAGCAATAAAAGTCGGGCTCTGGTCTCGTTCTCTCTCTCTCTCTCTCTCTCTCTCTGACTGCCTCTCTCATCGTTCCCAGTGTCTCTTACTCTCACTCTCACTCTCTCACTCTCTCTCCCATTGCCACTCCATTCCCCTGCCTCTGCTTATGTTTATCTCCGCCAGACAAACAGCCGCCAAGAAAAAGTTACAGCAGCTGAGACCGAAGCGTAAGACACTCTTTCGTATTTTTTCAGCCTCCATCTTGGTTCATGTTCAGCAAGAAATTCTGTCTCAAGCTGCCAATTTCCTTTACCCTGAATATTTTTCTGGCATGCCAAAATGTCCATAGCCTTCAGGAAGTGTATGCCAAGACCGAAAGATTCTTGAACTCGTTCGTAAGGTCGACAAGTGTCACCGTGGCAGAACAGGTCTCAGATTGATTGTTTGTTTGATTGACTGATTTATCGACTGATTGATTAACACACACACACACACACTCACCTCTCTCTCTCTCTCTCTGTCTTACAGCAATGGGCTGCCTTCTATGAGGCCTGAGCAGCGCAACAAACGCTGCTAGCTGCTGCAGCACTCGTACACGTACACGTACTCGGCCTGCCACTTGTTGCATGCAGCACTCATGATGCAACAGGAGGAGCAGCCACAGCAGCCACAGCAGCCACAACGAACTCGATTCAAGTCTGCAGCTTGCCACTCATACGCCATGTGGGCGAGGGGCGTCAATCGGAGGATGTTGCAACAGCAGATAGCCAGAACAACAGACGCAACAGCCACATTAGCCCACGGCCAAGGCTAGGCCAAGGGCCACAACACACAAAGCAGCAACAAGAGAACAATTCAAAAAGTTGAACAATCTTCGTTGAACTTAACGAAAAAGCAACGCAAAAATGTCTGAGGTAAGTCGACACAATTGAGGGAGTCAGCCACAAGGGACGCAAGGGCACCACCAAAAAATAAACAAAATACAGGATACACTTTATGCTCTCGATTCGGTCGCATTTGCAGCGAGTGTATCCGTTCGCTTATGGGAAACTACTCGTTCGATTCGTTTCCACTGCAAAACAATTTCCAAAAGTAAAACAGATTTTCCCACAGAGACAGCAGAGGGACAGAGAGTGTCTTGCAGCACTGTCAAGAGCTGCTGAAAGTCCAAGCAATGCCTTTGCCAGAGGGTAGCACGGCACGGCTAAGGGATGAAGCGGCACCTGGAGAGCATCTTCCGTCTCCTTGGGTGGCGCTCGGCGGGGGCAGCATTTCCATTTTTATTGAATTAAAATCGATTTTCAGTTTATTTTATCAAAAGACTTAAGAGCATCAAACACATTAAAAGCAAAAAACAAGACCACACACGCGAGGACCACCATAGGAGGAGTAGGAGGAGGAGGAGGATAGTGGGGCAGGAAGCTGTCAGTGGGTGAATATAGAGAATGGACGGACGGGAAGAGACGCCTGCCATTCTCGCCAGGAGGCCAGAAGGGCCAGAAGGGAGGAACTATCAAGCTGGATGGGTACAGAATGTTAATCAAAGAAATGCCTCAGGCTGCCGCTTGCTGTCGCTCCATCAGCCTACCAAATGGCCTTAGACTTAGGCTCTACTTGTTCTCCTAAAATCTCTGACTGCAGTTCACAGCGTCACAGTTAAACAGCGAAAGTGTCCAAATTGCGACCCGCATAGGCATTTGAATTTTGGGTCAGTGACGTCGTCGTGGCTGGTCTCGTTCTCCCCACACATGTGGGAGAGAGTTGGCTCGTGGGGCTGTCGACAGCAACAGGCGAACGACGCAGCCAAGCAGCTGTCGCCATAAGCAAACACACAGCAAAAGCAGAGGCAGTGGCGCACACACAGTCATGAGTATTGACCTAATTTGCAGCTGTTTACAAATTCATTCGAGCCACTACTCCCACAGAGCGCCACCTCCAGGTGTCCTCGCATCCTGGCAGGACTTTGTGCTTTAGCCGCATGATTTATGCAGCAAACGAGGCGACGACAGGCAAGTGAGTCGCAAAAGCCCAAAGAGCCCAACGACAAGTCCAAGTCGAAGTCCTCCGCGGCCTCTCAGTCTCAGATTTTCGCTGGCATTTTGTTTGGGAACAAATTTACATTTGACGCAGACGACAACCAAATTTGCAAATGCAAATCTTGATGCTATTTTGCGGCGGCAGCTTAACCCTTAACTGACAGCCGCGAAAGTGCATAAATTAAAAGCGAAATTGAAACATCAAATAACCGCAAATAAAACATTGAAATGATGAAACAGCACAGAGCATTTCCGCTTCAGTAAATGCAATATTTTCCAGGCACGAAAAGGAGACTCAGATCCCAAGTAAAGTCTTGGCAGTGGGCAAGCGAAAACTCTTGCTCCGTTTTGGAACATTTCAGAGACTCAATTAGGCAGCTCAGAGGCAGCACTTCAATTTCAGTTGCGCACTCGAATTGAAAGCTTTTTAATGCCAGAGCAATTAAAATTCGAGGCTTAATGAGCCTGCGCTGGATGGAGGAAAGCGCTGATTAGGATGTCTGGCAGGCAGGAGGATGTCCAGCAATTAGGCCAATAATGAGATGAGCTCCAGCCCAGATCCATGTCCCTGCTCATTCCCTTTCCCCATTACTCGTCATCGTCATCGACATTGTCAACGTCGTAGTTGTAGTTGTCGTCGCCGCTGGCTTCCGTTGTCTTTGACGGCTTTGAATCTGTTGTTGTTTGGGGCATTGATTTCCCTCTTTGATTGATGCGTTTTTAATGAAGGCGGCGCCAGGTGCGGCCCTGCCCGCGAGAATCATTAGTGCAGAGAATTGAAACGATTTTTTGTTGTGTTGTCCCAGCCCCAGCCCCAGCCGCTGCCCCTGCCCCTGCCCCTGCCGCACATTGCTGCCACAAAGACAAACAAATTGTGCTGGCCAGGAACCTTGATCCGCAATAAACTAAATGAAAAATAAATAGTCAATAGCAATGGAAAATATTGAAGCGGGGAAAGCAGAGAACTGTCGCAATGTCCTGGCCTGAAATCGACACGGCAACAAAAAGTTCTCGATGAGCAAACAAAATGCTTGCACAGCCCAGTCCAGAGCAGAGCATAGAGCTGGTAATGGTAATGGGAATGGGAATGGAGCTGGCAAACAAGTGACACTCCACGTGAACTATGTACACAGACAGACAGACAGACAGTCGGGACAGGGCAGAAAGGGTCGCCGCGCCTGGAAGTATGCCACGAAAAGCAGCACGATAATCACACAGAATGCCCACAGCTGTACCGTTCAGAGCAACGAGAAGGAGAACGAGAACGAGAAGCAGCAATCTGCCACACCAAGAATGAGAGTTCTGCGTGGACAGAAAGAGAGAGCAGACAGGCATTCCCTGACATAAAAGTACGAGTAAGTATGTGGCGGTGGAGAGCTTCCCGTTGTTGCTGTAGTTTTCCATTGCATCCATTTGAATCGATTCGAACTCCAGCGAGACGCCACTTGGATCGAGCTGTGGACTTGTTTGCCTCTTTTGGAGCCTACAGCTGACATTCAGATCACTCACTCCTTGGCAGCTTTCAGCGCTTCCTGCAAGACTTTCCTTCGATCTTTATCTATCTACACGTGTGTGTGTGTCCTGTAATCCTTCCTGCAGCACTTGAGCACTCCAAAAATTAGCATAAAACATTTATGGGAATGTCGCAGCAGTCACCAGTCTAAGCTCGGGGACTCAGCTGCTCATTTACATGCATTTGCATATGCCGCTCCCAACTCACATGTGTCTGTGTGTGTGTGTGTGTGTGTGTGTGTGTGTGTGGTTGTAGCTGTGTTGGTGTCAAGTGTAAAATCTGTGCGTATGCAGAAAGTTTTCCAATTAAAAGTTTTTGCCAGGTCCAATGGCTGTTCCCGGTTTCCCGGTTGCCAGCTGCCGCTACGAATCCATGTACTTATCCTGCTTCTGCTCCACCTCGTGCTGAGTGCCAGAGAGCTGGCGATGGTGGCGACAATTAAGCCGCATAATGAGCTATAAACTTCCGCGACAAGTGGCTGCAAATGTGAGCGAAAGAGCGCGGGAGAAGCGTTTAAGGGAACAAATAAATGCGCATACGCCCTGTGCCCAGTGCCATGCCAGGTGGAGGAGTCCCACGTGTCGCCGCTGTGCCTACTCGTTGGATAAAGCAGCGAGAAGGCAGCTGGAACAATAACGAGCAGCATCCACATTCGAGTGGGCCACCTCCTGGGTTCTCCCTGCCAACAACTAACAATGCCACAACACAATTGTTGCTGCCTCATTTGACTCGCAATTCCAATTTGAATGCCAATTGCCAATTGCCACCTTTTTGGGACAGATTGCACGACAGATTGTCTGCCGCACCTTTGTCCTTTGGTGGCAGCGCTCGACGAGCGTGGAGCTCAATGATTGCGTGGCGCATTTGTGGGGAATTTTGCAGAGAAAATAAATATCCTGCAGCACCTGACACTTGGCAGCAGTATTTCCTCGGACTCTGTCTGTGTCTCTGACATGTCATTTGCATGGAGCGCAGCATGGAGATACCCAAGAAGCTGCGAGACAGAGACAGAGAAGAGGGCCAAAGGATTGCTCCCTCAAGCCACTCCTTTCCCCTGCAACAAGTATTAAATTTCCAAACGAAACTTCCCAATCTGGAGGGTCCATTCGGAAGGGCCTTAACGATTTTGTCAGTGGATGAAACTCTGCATATCCTAGCGACTGTCGGCCGGACTGGCCCTATCATAAATTTCCGGCACGCTGCAAAATAAATCCAATTAAATTAGCAACAATCTCGAGTGGCTCCCCAGCCTGCCTGCCCGCCTGCCTGCCTCTCCTGTTACGAACATTATTTTCAATTTGCCTTTTGCGGTTGTCGACCATTCTGCTGTCCAGTCCGTGGTCAGGCTCGTCCTTAACTCCGCAAACATCTTTCTGCTCTTTCGTGTTTTTATGAGGCTTGCGATTGAGGACTGAGAAGGTCCTGTCCGAAGGGGCTTGCAGCATTTTGTATGCCTCTCTCTGTGGCTCCTCTTTCAATAGAAAATTAGTTTGTTTGTTCGCTTCCAGCTTCCCGCTTCCAGCTAGCTGCCAGATATCGTCGCAGATATTTATCGCAGATTCCTGTACTCCCCTGAGTACGGGGGTTGGATTTAATGTCGCTTCCCAAGCAGCTGCTCAATGCGGCAAAAGTACAGAGAAACCATTAACAAAATGCCCAACGAACGAGTTTAATTAGAGCTCGAAACAGGAACAGTGTTGGAAAGCGCAAAGACAGGAAAGACAGTGCTAGACAGAGAGCAGGAAAAGGCCGCGTCCTATTGCCAGCTTCACAGCGTGGATTATTTCATGTGGCACGTGGCATCTCTGCATCTCTGCACCTCTGCACCTCTGGGCAATCAATTAAATTGCGTCTCCCCTCGGTCAACTGTTGACGCAGCCCGAGGAGCTGCCTCATTAGCGAGCAGAACTTGTGCATTCTTTTGCTATCGATTCGCAGCCACATCCGGACTGGAGTCTGGCTCTGGCTCTGGGTCTGGGCATGGCACGTAGTCGCAACGTGATAAACTTTGAGGAGTCGCGTCGTGTCCTGTCCCCCGTCGAAGGTGGAAGCGATTTAGTAGAATTTAAGCAGCATTTAGGCAGCAGCAAGGAGCGAGCGGATGATGGAGAGGTGGGAGACCTTTGCCCGCATAAATCTGTCGTAGCGTAGCGAAGTTATCGCCTGGGAGAGTGCGGAGTTCAGGTAAAATGCGGCAGCGATAAAAACGCGATAAAGTCATTCAAAGTGCCGTGGAGGGGCTGAGGCAGAGGCAGAGGCAGAGGCACCCTAGTGGGTGGAGGAGTACAAATTTTCCACATTTGTTGCCCTGCCCGTAGAATTTTGTGTATTTGTCTCTCTGCTCTGTTTGCTCGACAGTGTCATA